CCCCCCCCCCCCAAGCACACACACTCCCCATTGTAGAGGACTACTGTATATGTAGTATACTTTTAAAGTCGTTAAGTATACCCAAGCTTTTAGATACACATACCAATCAAGATGACGCGAGCTACAAGATTTGAAGTTACAGTATGTGCTTCCATTGGGTTGTAAACATGTACATGTATGTCAGCGGCTCACAAAATCCTAAGATTACATTTGATCATTTCTGAACAATTTACACCCGTGCTAAGAAATAAGTTGAAAATAAATAAGCAAATCATGCTCGTGCTGCACACTAGTTAATAATAAATATGGCAGCAAATCATTAATATTGAAAGTGATCGAATCAGACCAATTTCGTTCACGTACTGTACCTGTTCTTTCTACAACTCTTACCGATAGACTGACCTATTTCTCTTCTTAGAAACTATGACTGATGCGTAGCTTTTAAGTAAGACAGTAAGTACACGTGTGCCTACGCTAATGGGAATACTCACGTCACGTCTATACATGGTTTTAGATGAGGCCAGCTGTAAATCCTGATCTCGTTTGATATCACAAAGTGACCCAATTTCGTGCTTCTATCTGATTGGTTACTGAAAGGGGGTTTCCCCGCGCGCTGTGTTGCAAGAGACGCTCATGAGAGCTGGAGAGGCAGGACAGTTATTGTACAGTTTTCAAACTTGTCGTTCAGTTGCAACACATATGCACGGGGAAAGGCAGGCTTAACCATAATTAAATCAATATGGAAATAAACAGCAAATGAAAAAATACAAAAATACGCCCTCTATGCTTCTGTTCCAAACTTTTTTTAAACCCTGAATCATCTACGTTATCTGTTTTTATACAGTAGGGCTATATTTGTCTACATGTACAAATAGGGGAGACCGGGGCTAGTTGGACTCCGGGGTAAGTTGGCCCCCGGTCAATTTATGAAAAAGTATACGAGGTAAAAAAAATTGGCCACATGCTCTTGCAAAGTTACCGTAGCCTACATTCTAAAGAAGTGTCGGACGTTAAAAAGTTTTACTTAAGCGGTGAGTTGAAATAAACGATTTTTGCACCTAAAAGTAATTTTGTTTAAGAGATTTAAAAATCGATATTTTCATAGGCTTTTGATCGAATATAAGATATGTATTTAGGGCATCAAACTGAAGCTCTTTCAAGTTTCACAGAGATGTATCACCGTTGCTCATTCTAGCATCATAAATGGCTACCACCCTTTAAAATAGATAATGTGCACCCGGGGCTAGTTGGCCCCCTTGACTCGGGGCAAGTTGGACCCTCATATTACCCACAAACCTTTGCGCGCAACGCTGTTTGAAAT